AGTTTTCCAAATTTGCTGGCATATTGAGTGCAGCACTTTCACAGCATCATCTTTCAGGATTTGAAATAGCTCAACTGGAATTCTATTAACATTAGCACTCCCTAAAATGAAACGTTTAGGAATAAATCTAACAAATATTTACAAGCTCCATATAAAGAAAACTACAAAACTCTGATGAATTGAATCAACTAATAACAAAATAAATGGAGATATATTCCATGTCCATGAATAGTAAGACTCAATATTCTCAAGATGTCAGTTCTCAACTTGATCTATATACTCAATGCAATTTCAATAAAAATCTCAGTAACTATTTTTGTGGATTTAAACGAACTGGTTATAAAGTTTATAGGAAGAGGAAAAAGACTGAAAATAGCCAATACAATACTAACAGAGAATAACAACGTTAGAGGACTGATGCTGTCCACCTTCAAGATTTAGCACAGAGGCTACAGTAATTAAGAAAATGTGATCTTCATTAAAAAAAAGAAAAATATCAGTTAAATAAAATATAGATGCCCCTAAACAGACCCATATAAATATAGTCAACTGATCTCTGACAAAAAAGAAAAGGCAACACAGTGGAGCAAATGGTCCTAAAACAACTAGATGTCCACATGCAAAAAATTAATCTGAACACAGACCTTACACCCATAATGAATATTAATTCAAAATTGGTCATAGACCTGAATGCAGAATGCAAAACTATAAATCTCCTAGAAGATAACATATGAACTTTATTCATAGTTGCCATAACTTCAAAGGAACCAAGTTGCCCTTTAGTAGATGAATGATTAATAAACTGGTAAATCCAGATAAGGAGATATTATTCAGCACTAAAAGAGAGAGAGAGAGAGAGAGAGAGACGTCAAGCAATGACAAGACATGGAAGAAACTTAAATGCATACTAAGCAAAAGAAGCCAATCTGGGAAGACTATGGATAGCATGATTCCAACTATATAATCTTCTGAAAAAGATAACAGCATGCACATGTAAAAAGAACAAGTTTCCAGTGGTTGAGTGAGGGGTGAAAAATGAACAAGCAGAACACGAAGGATTAGGGTAAAGAGAAAATACTCTCTATGGTACTGTAATGATGGATGTGTGTCATTATGCATTTATCCGAGCTCATAGAATGTAAAATATCAAGAGTGAATAATAATATAAACTATGGACTTTGGGTGAGAATGATGCAACAATGTATGTTCATCAATTATAACAATGTACCCCTCTGGTGAGGCATGTTGATATTGGAGGAAGCTATTCATTTTGGAGGGTAAGGAATACATGGGAAATTTCAGTACCTTCCTCTCAATTTTGCTGTGAACCAAGCCTTAAAATGATTATGCAATAAAATTGTGTCCACCAACCTAACACAGGACATCTATTATTACCTAACTGCTGGGTTGCACCTTCTCTGGCCTTTTGGTTAGAGAAAGCAGGCTTTTGCTGATGCTTTTTTTCTCCCCGCACCCGTTAGTTTTTCTGTGTTCCAGCTTCTTCAGCTATAAACAGGCAAAAAGAAAACCCAAGAAACTCCAACAATATGCTGTTCTTTGGGTCCTAACGCCTCTAGTCAGCTTTCCCTCTTTTAACAGCCTTTCAGAGTCTCTTAAGAGTGTCCACATATAATGTCTAGGGTTTTGGGGTATACTGAGTGAAAAAAATAGGGAAAGTATATCTACTCAAAATTGAAAATCTCACAATTTCACTTGTATTTTCTTCTCTCATCTCAGTTAATACTCAATATGTTTCCAGTTTAATAATGAAACATCAGGTCACAAGTTAAGTAAATCCTGTACATCAAACAGTATTTTTTGATACCATTTGAGTGTCAAAGGAACATCATATGAGCATCAAAATGCATTTATTATCTAAAAATATTCAAATTCAGTGCCTCCTTCCAGGTTTTCTGACTTTTGGCAACCTTCTAGATTTTATCTACTGGTATTTTGGTAAAGTTTTAAGTAGTAGCTTTAGTCTAAGCCATCTTTAAATTTTGAAGTCTCCTTTTTCTCGAAGAAGAGTTTTCATTCTAGCTTCCTCCCTTGATCTTCCTGTAGCCTCAGTTGGGACAAGACAGGAACTAGTCTCTGGTGAAAGCGTAATAGTATGGGAGAATCAGACCATGAGCTTCTTCCCAAGGGAAATGGCTAGTAATTTGTATTTCTTGAGGATGTTATTACCCTTTGAGCCAAATTCTTGGTGCTCAATAGACTATTAAGGAAGTAGGATCTAATTTTCTAAGAAGGACTTTAAGGGTAGGCAATCTTATGGGAATCACACCTTTTGTGGGAGAGATATGAAGATCTGAAATAGTTCTCATTTACCAGATTCTTACCACTGCAATTCTATTTGAAATTTTGTGTTGGAAATAATAGAGGAGGGTGTGAGGTATTCTTCATATCTACTCTCTGCCCTTCAGTGCTGGGCTTTCTATCACAGTGGGATCACCTCTACTGAAACGCATTTCAAAGTTCATTTACCAACTGCTTGTACTCATGTTCGGAAAATGGAAAGTGTTGGTAGGAATTGAAATGTGGGAAGCTAGGATAACCTATCCCCTTTGTCTTGCTTTGGGAGGCATCTTTGGAAGTGACCATGACTCATTAGAGACTATAGTTCTTATTGAACAGCTTATTCCTCTCTATTAGAAATTTTCCATCTGACGGTACTGGTTCCAAAGATTCTGGTAAGCCCACTACCTGTTTTTCTCCTTCATCTCCAGGAGTGGTGGCGATGCTTCACTTCAGTTACCTCATTTAAATCTTCTCTATCATCTTATGAATATCCCTGCTATCCCTAAGGTCACATTAGTGGTAGGGGTACAGATGGGATTTGAATAGTAACAACCTAACCATAAGCTCTGTCCATTTAACCAGTGTGTCGCAGCTACACTTAGCCAACTTAGTGGGTGGGACTGCCAACCTTCCCAAAATGAAATGCAGAATTTAAGAGTAGCTCTTTCACTAAAACCTGATAGGTTATTCAAGGCAAATCATGCATTTGGGTTTTCTTTAAGAGTTCACTGTGAATGGTATTTTATATAATAGAGGAGTGAGAAATCTAAAACTACATCCAAAAATGAACATCAGTTTTAAATTTTCAGTTAATAATGCTTATCTTCCAATACTACCCTTGAAGAAATGATACTAGGAGTGCTGCTCAATTTTTATTTCAACTAGCCACAGAGGAGATTGAGCTCTGATTATGAGAGATAATTTTGTCCTCCTGGTGCCTATTCTTTAGCGAAATTTTGGGATATCATATATTTTTTTCTGTGGACATGATGAGGCAAAAACTGTGTGGCGTATGATAAGAAAGATTATTTTCAAATAGGCAATCAGGAAGAAAGCTCTTATTCAGGCTGAACTTCTAGCTTCCTGTTGACATTTTTGTCCCATAATTTGCAAGCAGCAACTTCCCAATTGTATTTAGGGAGGCTTTCAATCCAGTTGTCAGCTAAAATAAAATTTTAGTGCACCCTCAGATGAAATCTTTTTCTCTTGCAGGCTAAGGGTTTATTAATCAATACCAAAGCTATCTGAATTTGACTCTACCCCCATTTTGAATTATAAGTCTCTAACTTGTCAACATTAAGTTTGAACATATCATTCTCCAGTTTGAAATTTTAAAGGAAAACTGAAAACAATGTAACAACTGAATATTTTAAAAGAAGAGTCAATAGAGATCAAGACATTCTAATATATATTTCCTTTTTTAATAAATACATAAAGCTCTTCACCATTTCCCTCAATTATTGTGATTAACATGAGAGTAAGATCTTTCAGAGAATCACTATGCCAATTTTCACAGCCTGATGTAAGGACTCATTTCACAGAAATAATCATAACTAGCATTAATAGATGAATGTCAGTGCCATAACACAAGATCATAAGGCATATTTACACCATCTTAACATACAGAACACCATACACATACACAAAAAAATCACAGATCCAGAACAAATAAAATTCAATCTCTTAGCTTACATTTATAGGCTTTGTCTGAACCATATTTTTTTTTTTTGCTATTTTTTCATAATTATTTCTTTCCAAGCAACAAACAGATCTTCCTATGTCTTGTGATTTATTTGTAATATTGTGCTCATGCAAAAATAATACTTGTTTTATTGCATTAACATTTAAACAGTTTTGGATTTGGGTCCCAAAACCATCATCTAACATTTTACTTGATGTTGCTTCATCCATATTGTCACTTTATTTGGAGTGATATGATGATTTGTTTTTGGTGAGTTACAAAATGACAAACATAGCCAGTTGACCACAGTTCAAGAATCAAGATTCTAAGCTTCTTGATCATGCATATTTTACTTTCATTCTTGCAAAATTTTTTGAGTCAGGAACACCATTTGATTCAATATTTATTAGTTTTCTTTTTTTAAATATTTCTAAAAACAACAACAACAGAAAGAATGAAAAAAAAATACTGTCCCACATCCACTGTTCACAAAAAGAAAGAGCAGCGAGAATCACGCGGACCGCTGTTGGCATCCGGTCAGGCGGCAACGCCGGTGAACACGGAAGGTCACTGAAACACTGCGGGACTCTGATCGTCACTATAACCCGTACTTCTGTAACAGTTCAGACTGCCACTGGCGCTTGCGCTCGGGAAAGTAATCTGGAATGTGGATTTTTTTAAAATCCTGAATACACTTTTTCATTTCTTCTTCCACACTTAGCTTCTCGCAGACTTTCTTTTTGGAAAGGTTGGTCTCCCGGGACTTGCTGATGAGCGTCTGAAAGAGTTCGCTGTTTCTGCGTTTGTCCGGTGGGGGCATCCACGGCACAGGCGCTTTTTTGGAAGGACGGTCCAAAGTCAAGGTGCTGGGCTGGTGAGCGGCCGCCTGCTGGGCGCTGGGTGGGTGGCCCTGGGGCGAGCTCGCCTGCGAGTGGCTGTCGCAGCTGGAAGTGGAGAGCTCATTACAGGAAGTCCCACTCTCGCTTCCTTTGTCCGCGACCTTGTCCTGCTTCCTGTCTTCGTGTTCTTGTTTGGGTGACACTATTTTCTGAGGAGGTCCTAAAAAGGAAGAAAGAAGTAGGAAAACTGAGTAAGAAGTGGGAAGGTCAAACTAAAAAAGCTTTATATATATGTTATTTATTTTCAACCACAAACATTTAAGAAAAATGTGGTCTGCTTCCCTAATTTATATTTGAGGAATTAAATCCAACACCTGCTATAGTTAATGTACACTGAAGCATGCAATTTGCTGATTAATTATTGATAACAAATTTGAGAGGTTTGCTTGATGAGCATTTATCCCATAGCAGATCATCTATAACTTCATGCTAAAAAAAAAATGATTTTTTGTTATTTTTAGTTACTAGTTCCTGCAATCTGAAAAAGATATCACATATAAATATTTTGCTAGTGCCATAACTGTTTTATTGAACAGTTAGTTCATTTCTGTTTTAGCTCACGGCATTAGTTGTCCTTTGCGTATGTAAATAATCCACCATCGTAACGCACAAACTCTATTGTACAAACCAGCATTCTCCAGGCCCAGAAGTGGAATAGCATCATTTATGCTTCTAAGAGGGAAACTGGTTTAAATCTTATCCTCCATCTCTTAATCTTCTTTCCTGTCTACTTTCTTGGGGAGAATCATGAAAGTACTATAAGATATATAGGTACCTAATATTATGCTGAAAAATATAGTTGAAATATAGTATTCTCTTAAAGTACAAGGCTTACCATTTGAGGTAAATTACCTAGGAGGACAACTTTCAGAAAATGGTAGTTTGCCAAGATAATTATTTCAAATACACAAACAGTTTATTTCCAAGAGGGAGCATGTTTTATTCTCCTTGACTCTGCTGTGGGATTAGGATCTCCATCTAACATTTATTGAACATCACCACAAACCCAGAACTATAATAAAACTTTGATTTAACTGGAGCCCAATCATTCAGAAATATAAGTTACCCAAACATTTTTGTCTTGTATTCAACATTTATGCACAAGTTATCTGCACCATAATTGAAATGAAAGGCATCAGTATTTTAAACAGTTGCATAGCAGATTCTACTGTGCAGCCAGAGTTGAGAATAACTGGTCGGACTCACAGGGTCTCAACCTTAGCCACATACGGAATTACCTGGAAAGCATGGATTATTGATGCCTTGATCTTAACCCAGATGTCCTGCTCGATGCCACCTGATCACTGGGTTATTTATAGATTCAGGTGATTTCGACATGCAGTTAAGATTCTGAGGGCTTCCTCAGTCTAATATATATGAATTAATAACCAATATGAATAGTCTATATTACTTAGAAGGGTGAGGAAACAAACCAATAAAAATACTTTTCATAAAGCACCCACTATGTGCTGCTGCTGCTACGTTGCTTCAGTCGTGTCCGACTCTGTGTGACCCCACAGACCAGCCCACCAGCTATCACCAATTTCCCCATTTAAAATTAGAAGAAAACACATTGATACGGGACATTTAGTTGAGAGGGAGTAAAGATTCTAAAAAGCTTTAGAACCTTTTGGAAGGCTGCCCTGGTGGCTCAGTGGTAAAGAATCCGCCTACCAAGACAGGAGACTCGGGTGCGATCCCCGGATCGGGATGATCCCCGGATCGGGATGATCCCCCAGCAAAGGGAGTGGCAACCCACTCCAATATTCTTGCTGGGAGAATTCCATGGACAGAAGAGCCTGGCAGGTTACAGTCCATGGGGTCGCAAAGAGTCGGACCTGACTAATGAACACACACACACCCACATATACACACACACACAAAAGTCTAGGACAGCAGTTCTCAACAATGAGAGTACATCATTGCAATTCTCTTAATGCACAGATGTACAGGTCCATCTCTGGAGATTTTGTGTGCTGACCGAATGGTTTGTATGTATGTATGTATGTATGTATTTTTCAGTTATTTTTATTCATTGGAGGCTAATTACCTTACAATATTGTAGTGGTTTTTGCCATACCTTGACATGAATCAGCCATGGATTTACATGTGCTCCCCATCCTGAAGCCCCCTCCCACCTCCCTAAGGCAAGGGTGGGATGATCTGAGAGAATAGCATCGAAACATGTATATTATCAAGTGTGAAACAGATCGCCAGTCTAGGTTGGATGCATGAGACAAGGGCTCGGAGCTGGTGCACTGGGAAGACCCAGAGGGATGGGATGTATGTATGTATTTAAATGGCAGTCAGAGTGGTAAAAAACATACAGCATCTGTTTACCTAATTCTCTTAATGGCGGAATGTAATCCCAAGCTAGCATAATGCCCAGGAGCCTGGTAAACTGTAGAATATAAACAAAGGGTTTTTACGTGTTTACCAAACTTGTGTGTTATTTTAACCAGAAAACGCCACAGAGGAATCTAAGATTTTCATTCCCAATGATGACTAAAGGGTTAAACTGCAAAGAGCTGGGAAAGCCAATTTATGTTTAAGAATTAATGAGTAGTGAGAAGTCATTTCCTGTTAATAGGCAGGGGATAGAGCATTAAACATAGATAGCTAGGCAGAAAGGTAGTAACATCAGAGAGGAAGACAGTGCAGAGATACCACGTACCACTAAAGCAAATGGTTCGTTCTGTTTTGATTCACTGGGGAACAACGTTCAATGAGATAGGCCAGGAGGAACACAGAGGCACAGGAAGTCCATGCGTTCAGACACCAATTCACGTCCCGCTCCTTGCAACCCTATGGACTGCAGCACTTCAGGCCTCCCTGTCCCTCGCCATCTCCCAGAGTTTGCCCAGGTTCATGTCCATTGAATCGGTGATGCCATATGAAGTCCATTGTTAACTAAATAAATTATATACAGCTATTGTTCTTAATGGTATTAATAATTATCCATGGAAAAATACTCCCCCAAATACACACACACAAATGCAGGCTTCACAGTACAGTAGGATGCAATATATGTATGCTGGAAATGGATTACTCTTGTTTGTAGTGTAAGATGGAAGCTCAAGGAAGACTTCTTTGAAGAAGGCATTGATCAGTTTAGCCAACAGAATTTACTGAGCACCATGACGTGCCAGGCTGGGATCTAGAGGAGGCACACGATGGGTGCTCTAGTGAAGCCCACAGGCTATTTTATGGTATTCCATAACATTAAGTATTTAAAATTCATGAGGCACTTTAGAATATCTTCCACTGTAGACTTTGAACTCCATGAAAAAAAAATGGAGGTGGAAACCTGAATTTTCTATGGTCTCAAAAGCACCTTTTTCTCAAAAAAGAACTTTGAATAGGTACAGATATTAACAGGAATTAATAAATACACACTTTTATTTCTCATCCCTCCTAATTCATAAGCTATCTTTGGCAAGGTATACTCCTAATCAAGACAGAAACTAGGTTCAGATGTTCACTTAACAGAAAATGCATAACTTTATTTTGTCCACAATTATTAGTTTGTTTTTTAAGTGTAACTATCTATAGCACTGTTAGTTCCTGTTACACAACATAGTGAATCAATATTCCATTACATTTCAAAATGATCATCACAGTAAGTCTATATATCATGTGTCACCATATAAAGATATTACAAAATTACTGACTATATTCCCCACACTGTACATTACATACCTTTGACATACATTTTGCAACTGGGAATGTGTACCTCTTAATCTCCCTCATCTGTATCTTTTCTTTCCCCATCTCTGATTCCTCTGGAAAACACCAGTTTGTTCCCCTCATCTATGACTATATTTTTGTTTTGTTGTTCATTCATTTCTTTTTTTTAAGATTCCAAATGTAAATTAAATCATACAATATTTGTACTTCTCTCTCAGATTTATTTCTGTTAGCAGAATACCCTCTCAGTTCAATTCAGTCACTCAGTTGGATCCGACTCTTTGTGAGCCCATGGACTGCAGCACGCCAGGCCTCCCTGTCCATCACCAACTCCTGGAGTTTACTCAAACCCATGTCCATCGAGTCGGTGATACCATCCAACCATCTCATCCTCTGTCGTCCCCTTCTCCTCCTGCCCCCAATCCCTCCCGGCATCAGGGTCTTCTCCAATGAGTCAACTCTTCGCATGAGGTGGCCAAAGTATTGGAGTTTCAGTTTCAGCATCAGTCCCTCCAATGAACACTCAGGACTGATCTCCTCTAGGATGGACTGGTTGGATCTGCTTGCAGTCCAAGGGCCTCTCAAGAGTCTTTTCCAACACCACAGTTCAAAAGCATCAATTCTTTGGCACTCAGCTTTCTGTATACTCCAACTCAAACATCCATACATGACTACTGGAAAAACCATAGCCTTGACTAGACAGACCTTTGTTGACAAAGTAATGTCTCTGCTTTTTTAATATGCTGTCTAGGTTGGTCATAACTTTTCTTCCAAAGAGTAAGCGGCTTTTAATGTCATGGCTGCAATCACAGTCTGCAGTGATTTTGGAGCCCCCCAAAATAAAGTCAGCCACTGTTTCCACTGTTTGCCTGTCTATTTACCATGAAGTGATGGGACCGGATGCCATGATCTTAGTTTTCTGAATGTTGAGTTTTAAACCAACTTTTTCCACTCTCGTCTTTCACTTTCAACAAGAGGCTCTTTAGTTCTTCTTCACTTTCTGCCATAAGGGTGCTGTCATCTGCATATCTGAGGTTATTGATATTTCTCCTGGCAATCTTGATTCCAGCTTGTGCTTCCTCCAGCCCAGCATTTCTCATGATGTACTCTGCATATAAGTTAAATAAGCAGGGTGACAATATACAGCCTTGACGTACTCCTTTTCCTATTTGGAACCAGTCTGTTGTTCCATGTCCAGTTCTAATTGTTGCTTCCTGATCTGCATACAGGTTTCTCAAGAGGCAGGTCAGGGGGTCTGGTATTCCCATCTCTTTTAGAATTTTCCACAGTTTATTGTGATTCACACAGTCAAAGGCTTTGACATAGTCAGTAAAGCAGAAAGATGTTTTTCTGTAACTCTTTTGCTTTTTTGATGATCCAACAGATGTTGGCAATTTGATCTCTGGTTCCTCTGCCTTTTGTAAAACCAACTTGAACATCTGGAAGCTCACTGCTCACGTACTGCTGAAGCCT